AAGATCAAGCAAGTGTGAAAAAGCATATCTTGCCAACGGGCCTACATCAGTTGGTAAACCCATGAACTGTTGAAATATGAATCAGACCCGAGTTCAAATCCAGATACAATCCGATGGCCACAATAACATCATTCCGACTTACCTGGGGCCTGTCAATTCAATCATCAATGATGATATCTCCTCAAGGTCGTCGTCCTTCGCTTAAAAAAAAAAAAAAAAGCTTGGCTGGAAAAGAAGCTTGTTCAGGTACAGAGGTGCAAAAGACACGGAAGCAAGCAGAATAAGAAAGATAACTTTTTTTTTTTTTTTTTTTTTTTTCCTCGCGTCAATACTCCTAGCGCAACCCCTATTCCTGATATCCTACCTCAGTGTGACCAGCACTCAGGACCATTACCCTACCATTTCCTTTTTTTTTTTTTTTTGTGCAGCAGAACCATGGGCACAGTTGTCTGTGCCCCATGCCCATCATCACTTGCAGACTACCGTCTTCACAGGAATAGAGCGCCTGGTCATTTTTTTGCTGCATCTGGACCGAAAGTTGCCGCAAATACAGCTACAATGACCGGGCATTCATTCCGTCGGTGAAGACGGTAGGAACAAGCGCAGAAAGGGAAAAAGCCGCAAAGTTCATGCATGAACCAGCGAAGGAGCCTGGACAATCCTAGAAAGGGGCAAACGGCAAAAAGCTCAGATAGCAGGAAGGGCAGAGCAGAAAGTTCACAGGTCCAGTAAAAAAGCTGCAAAGCAAAATTCACAAAAGCCAGACTGCACGGGACAAACAACCCAGAAAGGTGCTTGGTGGTGGCTCGAACCAGGCTGGTCGAACAATTACAGCATACCGTGCTCGGTGCTTGTGCGTACAGAGTGTTTTTTTTTTTTTTTTTTTTCAAGAAAATAGTAAAATACAGCTGTCTTCTCCTCATATATGGGGGACAAGCTGTATTTTTTCATTTTTTTTGCTACACTATTTTCTTCTTTCAAAGTTCAAACCTGTATCTACATCACGCTACCTACCTATGTAACGGGTTGCCTCTATATTCCGGAGGACACAACTTCTCAGTTCAGCAGTCAGCCTTAAAGCACCAGTACACCACACATCGGCCCGCCGGGGTCAGCACGAAACCGGCACCACTTCGGATGCCGCCGATTTTTTTTTTCAACGGCGCCCCACGCAGCGCGGCCCCTCCGAGTTTTGCTTGTGGCGACAAAACACCTTCTGCAAGGCTGGGGCCGTGTACTTGCGGTTTAAATGTACCAACTGAGCCTAAGCTATCCTAAGGTTATGGGTCTGTTCCTACCCAACTCTGCTGTGTGCGGGGAGCAAGCAGCACCCAAGCTCCTAACACCTGGCATGCGCTGGAAAGCGCGACTCTTCCACAATCAGCCAGGAGGGACAAGCCGACTTTCTCAGTCGGTGAACCCGAAGTATGCCACACAGCGGGTCGTGGGAAATCGAATGGATGCCGTGGGGAATCAAACCCACGACCTTCTGTGTACCACTTACGTGCTCAACCAACTGAGCTATTGGCCGCTTGGCTTGCACGGACTACCCAGAAAAGGTGCTTGGTGCTGCTCGAACCAGGCTGCTGCCGCTGCTCGAATGATTACTGTGTACTGTGCTCCGTGCTTGTGCTCAAACCAGGCTGCACGGACAAGCAAGCCGGAAAGGGCCACAACGCGAAGTTCATAAACAAGGGAGGATAGAACGGAAAGGCATCTGACCTCTATAACAATCCTGGGTTTAAAAAAAAAAAAAAAAAAAAAAAAAAAGG